GCCCTCAGCAGGGTGGGGGCGGGGGTGCCGGCTGCCAGCCCCGGGGCTGCAGGGTGCACAGCACGGGATCCAGCGGCTTGAGCGTGACCTGTTCCTGCAGCCCGAAGCGCTGCCCGGGCACCAGCCGGAACTCCAGCCTCTGCAGCAGCTTGGCCATGACCACCTTCACCTCCATCTGGGCCGGCGACAACGAGGGGGAATGAGGGGAGGAAGGATGGATGAGTGGACACCGCAGCCCGGTGCTCCCGGGGGCGCCTCCGCGGCAGGCCTGCAGCTGGGCTCAGCTGGGTCCCTGGCCCCTGGCCCGGGGGCCTGCAGCAGGGGCTGGGGACAAGCCACCACCCCTGTGGTCACTTCCGGGAGGAGTCCAGCCCCGTCCCCGCTACCTGAGCAAACTGCTGTCCAATGCAGGAGCGGTGGCCCAGGGAGAAGGGGAAATAGGTGAACCGTGGCCTGCAGGGAGAGAGAGGGAGCAGAGGTCGCAGCCTGCACGGTCAATGCAAGGAAGGTAGGAATGGTACAGCCATCCCTCGCGGTGACCCCTCTGCGCTGGGGGCTGCCGGCTGCTCCCACAGAGCCCTGGATCTGCATTTTCCCATTGCTTCCTCCTCCCAGCCCTCCCAGAAGGCTGTTATTCCTGTTTCACAGATGGAGAAACTGAGGCAACTCGGTCAAGGTCCTATGTCACTTATGTCCGGTTCTGGGCAGATCCTGGATCTGAGCTCAGGCATCAGTCCATGGGCCCCAGCTCCCCCCACCTCAGCTTAGGTACACAAATAAGTCAGCTCCCACAGGAACTTCCAGAGGCCGACATCGGCGTGCCCATTTCTCAGACGGGAACCTCAAGCCCAGGGGAAGTAAAGTCACGGGCCCAAGTCACAAGGCTTTTCAGTATTAGGTACTTGTGATGAGCTTTAGATCCAGAGTGAGCTGGGGTGCAACCTCTGCTCTCCCACTTGGGCAAGGTGGCCAATCTCTCTGAGCTGTGATGCACTCCACAACCACCTCTCGGGGATCAGAGAGCACAGCGGGCACAGGCTCAGGGGGCACAGACAATTCAGGCCAGAGGTTGCTGTGATGGTCCCTCCCCCACCCGGTCCACTCATGGGCAGCTCAAGGAGGGACTTACTTGGGCGCTCCAGGGCTGAAGCGATCGGGGTTGAAGGTCAGCGGGTCCTCAAAGTACCTGTCCATCCGCCCCATGACATAGGTGCTGAACTGTGGGCAAAGGGTCTGCTTGCCTCTTGTTCCCAGGGCCGAGCTCCCTGTCGCTCCCAGCCCGCTGCAGCCACCTCACGAGTTGACTCAGAGCAGAGTGACACGCCCCACCCACCCCGCCTTTTTCACCCACCCATTTCGGCAGATGTGGAAGTCCACTGGCCCCTTCGAAAGTCCCTAAGGGGAAGGAAGGGGACAGGCGGCCCAACATGCAGCTGAGTGTGTGACATCATCTCATGCCAGGCACAGTCCTGGGGGGAGTGGCCATCACCTCTATTTTATAGATGAGGAAACTGAAGCTCAGAGAGACACCCGGGACCTACCTGGAGCCACCAGGCAAATAAGTGGCCAAACAGACTCGAGCTCAGATCAGGCCCTGCAAGGCCATCCAGATCCCTGAGAGCTGTTGCTGTTTGTGAGTGTCTCTTCCACGCAAGGCCTGCAGACCCTGCCAGCCTTCCATCTGCACGCACGGCACCTCCAAGTGGCGGGTGCTCCCTCCGTGTCCTGAACCCCAGAGGCTACCCCTCTGGCCTTGGAGAAGCAACATGTCCCCTTAATTGGGACCCTGGGTGCTGGTCTCTGCCTCTCCTGCCCTTGGACAAAGCATCTTCCTGAGGCTGTCCCACCCTGCCTCTGTGCTGAGAGCCAGGGTTGGGGTGGTGAGGGGGAACTGCAGTTGGGCTGCCACCAGCAAGTGGGGGTGTCAGGAGTGGGACTGGGCCCAGGGCACCTGCAATGTGCCAGGGACTGTAGCCAGATGCGTGATAAATGTCGTCCTATCAGGTCGTCTCAATGGATTGTGGCCAGGGTACCACCACTCCTACCCCAAGGACAAGAGCAAGGGTCTCAGGGAGATGACCCGGCAAGCCAGAAGCAGCACTGGGGCAGAGCCCGTCTGTCCACACAAAACCAGGGGCTGGATTCCCGGGTTGAGAGTCAGCCACGGGGCCTCCCCTGCCAGGTGCAGGGGCATGCTACGGGGGTGGTCATTAAGGCAGAGTGGTATTGTACAGTTGTATACAAAAATGACAGGCAGGTCAGGCTCAGTGGCTCAGTCTGTAATCCCAGCACTTTGGGAGGCCGAGGTGAGTGGATTGCCTGAGCCCACAAGTTCGAGACCCACCCAGGCAACTTGGCGAGATCTTGTCTCTACAATAAATCAATAACTAGCCGGGCGTGGTAGCATGCGCCTGTAGTTCCGGCTACCTGGAAGGCTGAGGCGGAAGGATCGCCGGAGCCCAGCAGGTCGAGGCTGCCGTGGCCGGGAGTGTGCCGCTGCACTCCAGTCTGGGTGACAGGGTGAGACTCCAACTCCAAAAAAAATGACAGGCAAAACAATAAAGAACCTGTCGGGTGTAATGGCTCATTTGAGAGGCTAAGGTGGGAGGATTGCTTGAGCCCGGGAGTTTGAGAAGAGCCTGGGCAACATGGCAAGACCTCATCTGTACAAAAAAAATTAAAAAATTAGCTGGCATGGTGGTGTGCACCTGTAACCCCAGCTACTTGGGAGGTTGAGGTGGAAAGACTGCCAGACCTCAGGAGGCTGAGGCTATGGTGAGCTGTCACTGGGCCACTGCCTCCAGCTTGGGTGACAGAGCGAGAACCCCCACTCAAAAAAAAAAAACAAAACTAAAGTGGGGAAGGGTGGAGGGGGTAAGTGTTGAAAAACCACCCAATGGGTGCCGTGCCCACCACCTGGGTGATGACTGAAACAGAAGCCTAAAGCTCATCGCCATGTAACAAACCTGCATGTGCTCCCCTTGAGTGTAAAATAAAAAAAAATAGTAGGGGAAAAATTAGATATTTTTTGAGATTTCAATTTTAGAGGAAAAATTTTTAAAAAGTCGCCATGGCTGACACGTGGATGGGGGCTGGGGGAGGCGTGGCAGAGCCTGGGAGCCAGGACAGCTCAGCAGGGGGACTGGAGGCATCATTTTCCACATGGGAGAATAAAAATGGATCCTGTCATGGGCTGGAATGTGGTTCCCCCCCCTCAAGTCCATATGTGGGAGTCCTAGCCCCCAGTGCCTTGGAATGCACCTGTGTTTGAAAATAGGGTCTTCAGCTGGGCTCGGTGGCTCAGCCTGTCATCCCGTGCCTTTGGGAGGTTGAGGTGAGTGGATGGCCTGAGCCCGCGGGTTCGAGACCCACCTGGGCAGCGAGACCTCATCTCTACAATAAATCAAAAAATCAGCCGGGCGTGTACTTGGAAGGCTGAGGTGGAAGGATCACCGGAGCCCAGCGGGTCGAGGCTGCGGTGGCCGGGAGTGGCCACTGCACTCCAGTCTGGGCGACAGAGTGAGACTCCAACTCAAAAAACAAAAAAATAAAATAGGATCTTCAAAGAGATAGGTTGAAATGAAGTCCGTAGAGTGACCCCCCATCCAATTTGACCAGTGTCCTTATGAAACGGGGAGACGGTCAGGCACAGTGGCTCAAACCTATAATCCCAGCACTTTGGGAGGCCGAGGCGACAGGATTGCCTGAGCCTGTAGGTCCAAGACCAGCCTGGGCAACATGGTGAGACTTCGTCTCTACAATAAATCAAAAAATTAGCCGGGTGTGGTCACACGCACCTGTAGTTCCAGCTACTTGGAAGGCTGGGGAGGAAGGATGACCTGAGCCCAGCAGGTTGAGGTTGCAGTGGCCATGAGCATGCCACTGCACTCCAACCTGGGTAACAGAGTGAGACTCCAACTCAAAAAATAATAATAATTTTAAAAATAAATAAATAAAACGGGGAGACAAGGACACAGACCGGCATGGAGGGAAGACCCCATGAAGATGCAGGGAGAAGGTGGTGTCCGTGTCTACACACCCAGGAGGGAGGCCTTGGAAGATGCCAACCTGTGGACACCTTGACCTTGGACTTCCGGCCTCCAGGACTGTGAGAAAATAAAGCTCTGTTGTTTGAGTTGCCCAGTCTGTGGCACTTTGCTAGGGCAGCCCTGGTAAAGCAACACAGATGTCTGCCTTGGAATCACACACTAAGTAACTTACAGGTAGTGAGAGCTCAAATTCGAAAAGAAAAAAAAAACAAGTACAACTGCTTGAGGACTGTGTGAGTGCGACACATAAGACAAAATGAAACAAAGAATCACTCAAAAATTAAGGATTCGGATCATCAAAAACATCTTCATGAAGACAAGCTATAGATCTGGAGAAGACGCATATGGACAGACAAGAGACACGCGAGTATTTAAGATAAAACTCTGTGTGTCGAGAAAACACAGCCCCAGAGGGGGCACTGAGCCAACATCTCACATGAGGAAAACAGTTTAGGGATATTCGACCTCACTGGTAATCGGGAAAGTGCAAATCAGGCCACAGTGAAATACCTGTACACATATTTGATTGGTTGGCAAAAAAAAAAAAAAATAAGAAATTTGACCACACGAAGTGTTGGAGAGAACAGGCTCATGCCTGGGCCACTAGAGGGTGCCCGAATCTGGAAGACAATCTGGCATCCGTCTTGAGGTTGAACCTTCCCATGTCCTTCAGCCCAGCCCTCTGGCTTCTGCCCAAGAAAAACGTAGGCACACTGCGCCGGGACACGTGGACAGAAACGCACACAGCTGTCCCCTGAGCTACCCCTCCAATGCCCGTCGGCCCCAGCATTAATCAGCAATGGCAGGTAGCCTACAGCCTCATGGGGAAATGGACACAAATCTTTTTCTTTTTTTTAGAGTTGGGGTCTCACTCGGTCTCCCAGGCTGGAGTGCAGTGGCCTGCTCGCGGCCACTGCAGCCTCGACCTGCTGGGATCCGGTGATCCTTCCGCCTCAGCCTTCCAAGTAGCTGGAACCACAGGCGCATACCACCATGCCCGGCTAATTTTTTGATTTATTGTAGAGATGAGGTCTCGCCAAGTTGCCCAGGCGGGTCTCGAACCCTTGGGCTCAGGCAATCCTCTCACCTCGGCCTCCCAAAGTGCTGGGATGATAGGTGTGAGCCACCATGCCCGGGCTGGACAAAAATCTTAATAGTTTTTATACTGAGTCAAAAAGCAAGTCCTTCGACAAATGACTGTGAGGGTACACACACACAGACACACACACACACACACACACACACACACACACACACACACTCTCTCTCTCTCTCTCTCTCTCTCTCTCTCTCTCTCTCCCTCCCTCTCTCTCTCTCAGAGGAACGGCAAACAGAGTTCAGGCTAGTGTTCCTTCTTGGGCGGACAAAGAGGGACACACATGTAAACAGTCACACCCTATGTCCTGGTTTTGGGGGTGGGTGGTGGGTTTAGGGGAGGTTATTACATGCGAAGGAATGAGTGAATGGATGGGCAAACAAAGACACAAAATGTGAAGGTGGGTGGGGGGAGAAAGTTGACCACGGTGGGAGGAGGGCTGTCAAAGGGGAGAGGAAAAAAAAACTAGGACAAGTCTGGGTCAACCGTGACACCACTTTCCATACCTGCACCTCACCAACTGTGTGACCCCGGGAAAGTGACCTAACCTCTCTGAACCTCAGTGTCCTCAGCTGCAAATGAGGCACCTCCCTTCTGGAATTATCGGCTACAATTGTACCCCGGACAGTGTGAAGGGAGAGACAAAGCCCTCGCAGGGCTACGGTGAGACTCAAGGATGGCCCACCACATGGACAGAGAGGCTGGGCTCAGCAGTGGTGGTGACAGGGCCACGGGCTTCCCTGGCTTCCGTGGAGAGCCCCAACTTTGCCACCCTGGCGGGGGCGTGTAGGCCAGCCCATCCCAGGGCCCTCACTCACCAAAAGCGGGGTGTTGCCAGGGACTCTGACGCCATCAATCAAGGTCTCCTCTTCTAGCAGGCGAAAGGTGCCCCACGCCGGCGGGTACAGCCTCAGCGACTCTTTGAGGACCTACAGAAGCCACAGGGGAGAAACAAGAGACGTTGGGAGCTCCCACAGAGTTCGGGCAGCACGCCCCGACCTATCTCCCCACCACTCGCGGTGCTGAATGCATACCCTCACCCTGGATGGGGTCCCACGCCCCTGGGACATTGGCCTCACCATCATGCCCAACTGCTCATGTGACTGATGGACACACGGAGGCCCAGAGAAGGGAGTCATGCAAGCCCACAGTGGCAGGGACAGGAACAGGAGCCGGGACTCCCACTCTCCCAGAGAACCAGAGACAGGAGAAAGCTGGGCTTCAGGGACAAAGTTTCCCGCTGTGCTTGGCAATGTGTTGGTAGAATGGGGAGCAGGGTGAGGCATCACTGAGCCCGTCTCCATGGTGGGAAGCTTAGGGCTTGTGGATCCCAAGCCAGCCTGGGAAGTGCAGATACAGCACTGCGTGCCACAAAGCTGGCTTCCAGGCCCGGCTGAGGATTGGGGGTGCCCGGGGAGCCCCTCGGCCCTGACATCATCAGTCTGGGGGCAGCCTGGGCCTCGGGACGTTTTCAGTCTCCTGGGGGGTTCTCCTAGGCAGCAATGTTTGAGAACCACTGTCCCAAAGGGTCCCGGGAGGCAGCAGGCCTGGCTGGATGCCTCTGCACATCCGCCCAGAAGCTCCCCTCCCATCCCCGCACCTGGGACAGGTACTGCAATCGCCCCAGGTCCTCGAAATCCAGGTGCCTCTTAGAACCGATGACCTCGTCCACCTCGGCCTGCAGTCTGTCGGGAAAGACGAGTTGGTCTCCCCCACACTGGGTTTAAGAAGGGCAGATGGAGGGATATGCGGTGAGCATGTGGTTTCCCATCCACAAACACTGTTCAAGAGACCCAGCAATGGCCACGCCCAAAACAAAATGCCCAAGCCACTGGGCACCATGTGCCAGGGGCCTGAGAACATCCTTTGTAGCTGATGCTTGAAATTGGCTGTAGGAGACAAACACACGCACAACAAGGCTTGTGCACAATGTCTCCCATGGCCTGGTTTCCAGCAACCGACAGCTAGAAACAGCAGTATCAGCAGGACAAGGACGCCGGTCGAGTAAACTTGTGAATGTGTGCTGTTAAAATGACATGCAGCTTTAAGAGTGGATCTGGGCCACATCACACTCACCCGGATGGCTATGACCGAAACAAGAACAAAATCAAACAAGTGCTGGCGAGGGCGTGGGGAAATCGGAACCCTGCGTGGCCGGGGGGAATGCAAAATGGTGCAGCCGCCGTGGAAAACAGCTTGCCGATTCCTCAAAACATTAAATAAAGATTGACCACATCATCCAGCAATTCAGCTTCTCAATAAATACCCCAAAGAACTGAAAGCAGGCGCTGGAACAGATACATGTACGTGCATCTTCATGGCAGCCTTATTTACAATCGACAAAAGGAGAAGCCCAGGGGTCCGTGGACACGTGAGCCGTGGACAAGCAAACTGTGGTGTACACCTGTTGTGGCATGTGATGAAGCCTTTAAAAGGAAGGGAATTTGGGCCGGGCTCGGTGGCTCGATCTGTAATCCTAGCACTTTGGGAGGCCGAGGCAAGTGGATTGCCTGAGCCCGCGGGTTCAAGACCAGCCCGGGCAACTTGGCAAGATCGCATCTCTACAATAAAATTTAAAATAGCCGGCGTGGTAGCGCACGTCTGTGGTTCCGGCTGCTCGGAAGGCTGAGGCAGGAGGATTGCTGGAGCCCACCGGGTCGAGGCTGCGGTGGCCACGAGCTTTTGTGCCACTGCATTCCAGCCTGGGCGACGGAAAAAAAAAAGGAAGGGAATTCGGACACATGCTCCTGGATAAACTTTGAGGACATTCTGCTAAGTGAAATAAGCCAGTCACAAAAGGACAAATACTGTTATGATTCCACTTACATGAGACATCCAGAACTGAAGATGCATAGAGACAGGAAGTAGGATGGTGATTGCCCCAGGGCGGGGGAGAGAGGAGTCATTTAATGGGAACAGAGTTTCAGTTTGGGAAGATGCAAGAGTTCTGGAAATAGATGGTGGTGATGATGGTACAACAATGTGAATGTACTTAATGCCCCTGAACTGCATGCTGAAAAATAACTAAAACGGCCGGGCACGGTGGCTCACGCCTGTCATCCCAGCACTTTGGGAGGCCGAGGCAGGAGGATCACTTGAGCCCAGGAGTTTGAGACCCGCCTGGGCAGCATAGTGAGATCTCGCCTCTAGGTAAAAATTTAAAAGTCAATCAATCAATAAAATAAAGTAAATAATTAAAATGCTAACTTTTATGTGATGTATCCTTTATCATAATTTTTTTTTAAAAGAGTGGATTTGGAAGGAGGTTGCAATGCTGTGAGTTGCACTAAAGTTCGGGGTGAATGAAAGCCGTCTAGACAACTGGATGGAAAACACACCACAGCTCTATGTGCCCGGACCAAAGATGCTGAACAGAGAGGTTCGGTCATTCATGGTAAGTTGCCTCCGGGTGACTGGGTGCCATGGTGGGTTTATTAGTATAGTGTCGTGGCTATTTTAACTTTTCTGCTTTTTCCAACATTTTATTTTTTCTTGAGTTGGAGTCTCACTCTGTCGCCCAGACTGGAGTGCGGTGGCCGCTCCCGGCCA